TTTTGTCACCTTAATTGGACTGACCACTGATTTTGAACACAGTGTTTCGCGGTGGAATCATTTCTTTGGAGGAAACCGAGATGGCATGACAACTGCAGTGTTTCCTTTGACGCCATTGATGAAGTCGTCCCATTTGTAAACATTCCCTTCCCCTGCAAGGCAAGACTTTGAGAGCTTCCGGATCGTTGTTGAAGCCAAGATATATGACCACACATTCTCATTGGTCAGACAGCCTTGGTAGGACTGATTTTATTCAAAGCCTCTCCCAGTGAATTTTGCTCTCGTCCCAGAACCAGGGAACCTCCTTTCCTGATAGTATAACCCCTTGTCACACCATTCAGACCACTTGTGTGCGTGCGGAGTTCTCCATCTTTGTAAAACTGCACGGCACCATCATTGCTTCGCCAAGTGAAGCAGATGTGATGCTATCTCCCGTCAATAGCTGAGCCGTGCACTTTCCTGTGACAAACACAGAGACAATATAATTCAGAACTGCTCTTGCAACCTAAGATTGCGTTCTACAGAGTTTCCTCACATATATTTGACCTATATGCATATGATTAGCGACTAAGGTTTGTCGCGGTCAGTTGAGTCTGTAAACGTACAACTCACCTCGCCTTATTTCCTATCTCAATCTGGGAGTCTCTATAATTATAAATCAGGAGCTCATCATTAACTCTGGCCACACTGTAGATGAATGGAGTACCACCATTTGAAGCTGTTGATTCAAACCGAGCATACCCCAGATGTTGGCGTAAGTGCTAATATCTTTGTTTGGGAAACAGAGAGCGTAATCTTTATGAAAAGCAAACATTCAAAGGAAGAAATTTTTTTTTTGAATGATATCTGCATGGATGAGGTAGGTAATAATTCTCAACACCCAACTGCCCCCTTCCCTATTAGTTAAGAAAACAATTGTAACAAAGTTTACCGAAAAAAAAAATTGATGAAACAATAAAGAAAATCGTCTTAAGACCTGCACAATGAATTGCTTTCCTACGCCCCTGATCAATTGTGGTATCCTTCAATTTGATTAAAGTTCATGCTCTCAAATCAAGCCTGCTCTTTTCATAGAAACTCGTTATATTAAGTTATGAGGAGGAGTACGATGTGTGTATCCCTCCCTCCCTTCCTCCCTGCCCCTACCCCTTATCCCCATTTCCCCGGCCATCTCCCCTCCACCATTATTTAAGAAAGGGAAACGGGCAGAATTTTACTTCACTGCCCAACTGTTCCTTATCCGTCTGAGGTTTGGGTTCTAGTTTACACAGCTGGTAACTTCTGCCCATCAGAGTCTGCCCCAGACTCCCAGACCCAGCCGAGACATTATCATTATTTCCCACACGCGGCAAAATGAAGATTTAACTCATTGCCCCTCTAATAGCCTATTTGCGAATTATCCATATCTTGATTTTCAGTTTATTTAATTCTCACACGTAGCAGACTTCTTCATTTCACTTTTCCTGATGGCATCTAAGTCCTTATTCGTTAACTATTAACATGATAAAGTGAGTTTTTATGTCAACAGTGGTTTTTGCAAATATAAGACGGCGTAAGATGTGCTTCGTTTTCTTTTGTTAACCTTAAGGTGCCGCAGAACCCGTTTTTGAAATATTCTTCTCGGGCGAGAGAATTTCTCTCGCTTTGGGTCATCAGTTGATTCTATAGCATAAGGAAATTTCACTTACCTTTGAATATGGAGCCAGTGACCTATCCTATGAAAGAGGATGCGAGACTTAAACAGACAAATAAGTGCAGAGAAATCGTGATTTTCCTTTTGATCTTGTCGCTGTAAGAGACCTTTGGACGAATTACATAGAAGCTTACTCCGTCAATGCTATAAAACAAGATATCAAGATTAACATTTTCCCGGATAAAAGCTATGCTAAAAGTTGAAAGAGAGGGGTGGGGAACTATAGAAAACTGACTGATGATGAAGCGGGGTCCTATAAATACTACAAAGCCTTATAGGGGGGTCAGGTAAATTGTATTGTGACACAAACAAAATCTCCGTCCACCCCCTCCCCCCCTTCAGGCAATAATATTGGAGGGTCCCTTAACATTAAGAATTCGCAGATTTTGACATACAACATAAGAAAAATTAGCATGGGTAGATTACTCTAAACATTAAAACAAATCCAGACCCTTGAATACAAGTAACCACCCAGAACGTACAAGAAGTGACTGTCCTGATGATTTTGGAGTGAATTGATGTTAGTAACATACTAAATTGATGGGATACCAAGACGAAACTGAAAAATGCTCGATACCACTGACATGACATGTAACCAAAATTAACTATTACTTTGAGAAATTAATTCATAAGAATTACATAATGGTTTCAAGAAATGTCATTTTTGCATCTCCTTTTCTTTTGTGGCAAATAATTGAACTTTTTTTAGACAAGTCTCCCAAGAGATATTACAATTTCATTCATTTGTTTACGATTAACTGATCTTAATCCTCGGACGTACCAGGGAGGGTGGATGCCATCCCAATTTTCGTCTTTTTTTTTATTATTTTTTTAAAGGAATTTTATCTGAGCAACTGCCCCTTTCAGTAGCTATTTGTTCATCTTGGAGACATATTTGTTGTGAATTTGGTGAAAATCCGCTCATAGATATAGGATTGGAATGACAAGTGATGTGTAGTTTTTTAAGAGCTAATATAAGTTGCGAAAGAATTAAAGCGTTAAGTCGAAAAGAGAAATACAAGAAACCTATTTTTTTTCTTTTGGAGTCATATTTTTATATTTTCCTGTCATAGTTGATGGCTACTGTTCTTTTCACAAGTCAAAAAATTATAGTGGAAAAAGTGGAAATCGAAGTTCACTTGAATTTTATGATTGCAATACTGAGGAATTTGTGCATTTTAAATACCAGTGGAAAAAATTTTTTAAGAGAAAAAAATAATGTTATTAAAGATACTTTAGATCACCTCAGATTGGATTCTACAAAAACCAGGAACTGAAATCAAGAACAACCAACGAGGAACAGGGAACCTGAGTCTGGGACCGAAAGAACAGCGGTTATTCGCTCAACGACCTAAAAAAAAGCCGGTGACCACACAGAGAAAGAGTTTGAGCACCAGCTTAAGTAGGAGCTCTTCGAACTCAGTTACCCACTTGGCTGATAAATATTAATTATGACCTTATTGAAAAAGTCTTACCTATCTTTGATGTCAAAATTCTGTTTCATTCTGATATAAATTGGAGATGCAAAAGTTGTCGGGTCTTCGAAGAAGTGAGTGTCACGTACACAATACTGAAAAAAAAAATAGTTTTAGTAACTTCAATCCCTTCAGATAAGGTTACTCTAGAAAGCCTCTGGTAAGGCTCTAAGGGACCTTGAACCAATGGATAACAGTGTACCATCAAAACGACAAACAGTAGATGATACTCAGTTTGTCCCGAATAAATTTCAACCAAGGCTTGCGAACGCTCAGTCCGTGAGCTTTCTTACGTTCACAGAAGAATTGGAAGTAATACGCTAACTGAGATATTTTTAAATCAAGTTTAGCTCTCTTCCCGAGAGCTTGTCATAGATCTTTTCTCTGTATCATTTATGTTCAATAAGGAGGGCTCGCCACTTGACTGATTCAGTTTATTCCTTCAGTTACTCCTTCAAGTCACTTTATGCCTATCAAAAGTCTTTGTTGAAATTTCCCTAGTAACCGTAGCAAAAGAAAACGAAACGCACTCACATGGAGGACTTTGCACTGCAGACTTTGAAAGCCCCTCTCCTACAAAAGGGGCTGACTCGACTTTCCTCCTGACGATTCAGCAGTTTCTGTAATCGACGATCAGTTCATCATTAAGTATCTTCCTTGCTTCTACTTTAATCACTGGACAAATCAAACTTTGATTCCTAAATCGAAATCGACGGATATTCAAACCCGGCTGATGTTACATCAATTATGTTATGATTATTCTGGGCTTAAGGCTATTGTCATAGCATCGGGCATTATTTGATCAAAAATAAGACGCAAACAGCAGTGATAAACACATTGAACTTGCAAATTTTGATTATGACCTGACGTTTCGTTTGTACTGAACATACATTTTCAAAAGTAACCGTTGAAATTCAAAACAGCTATGTATATATCTATAACTAAGGTGAGGGGACTGGAACCAAGATTAAGCAGAAAACTTAACAATAAACAGTAACACAAGAGCAGATTAATAAAGCAACAGCTTTTCACTTCCGACGTTCACGTTGAAAGCTGGCTCAAGTTCTTGAATAAGTAGGGACTCTTTGATTTTACAATGGCAGTCTGTTTTGCCCTTTGCCAAAAAATCAGAATGATCCCACTTGATATTATGTCCAGTGGCCTTGACGTGGTCGGCAAGGGCTTAAGTATTGTCATTTTTAGTGAGGGTCTTAAACGATTACCTTGAAATGTATGTTGAGTACATATGAAACGTCAAGTCATAATCAAAATTTGCAAGTTCAATAAGTTTATCACTGCTGATTGTGTCTTATATTTGATCAAATTACAATGGCCCAAGAATAAAAGTATTTATCAGGTATAATGCCAGGAAGAAAGGAAAAGAAAAGACAAGAAAACAAAGCAAAACAGAAACAAATATTCAGTGCTTATTTCCAAAAGTTATTGAACGGGTCCAACAGTAGGCAGAGTGCATTTGACCAATGAGAACACGTGAAAGTACGTGAAAGGGACCGAGGCACCTCTCTCCGCCCTAGGCGCCCGTGCTTCTCGTTTTGCGTCACGTTTGTTGGCGCCAGTTTTCTGTGCCAATGACAGAGATACACGGGCCAATGAAAGCCTCTACTCAATAGGAAATTGTATAAACCACTATCTTCGTAGCATAGTTAAAATTTTTATTCTGTGTTGTCAGCTCGCTTACCGTTTTCTTTTATTTTAACATAAAGTACCCAGTACGCTTAAGGCTACCCTTTAACATGATTAAATTAAACTATTGTCACCTTAATTAGACTGACCACTTATTTTAAACACGGTGTCGTTTCGCAGTGGAATCATTACTTTGGATAACATGGTGATGGCATGACAATCGCGGTTTTCCCTTTGACCCCATAGATGAAGTCGTTCCATTTGTATACATTCCCATTCCCTGCAAGGCAAGACTTTGAGAGCTTCCGGATCGTTGTTGAAGGTAAGACATACGACCACACATTCACATTGGTCAGATAGCCTTGGAAGGACTGATAACTTTGAAATCTTCCTCCAAGTGAATCTTGCTCTCCTCCTAGAACCAGAGAACCTCCTCCCTTAATTGTATAACCCTTTTTAAGGCCATTCAGATCGTGGGTGCGGAGTCTTCCATCTTTGTAAAACCTCACGGCACCATCATGGCTTCGCCACGTGAAGCAGATGTGATGCCATCTTCCATCATTAGCCGACCCGTGCACTTTCCTGTCAGAAACACAGGGAGGATATGATTTAGAACTGCTCTTGCGACCGAAGATTGCACTCTACAAAATTTAGTCAAATAAGTGAACGTTGCTCACCTCTCTTTTTTCCTTATCCAAAGACTGTAGTCTCCGTAGTTATAAATCAGGAGCTCATTATCACCTCCAGCCACATTGTAGCTGAATGGAGTACCTATATTTGAAGCTGAGGATTTCATCCAGAAGCATATGGTGAACCTCTTCAAACTGGGCATACCGCAGATATTGGCGTAAGTACCAGTATCTTTGTTTGGGAAGTAAAGAGCGTAGTCTGTTTGAAAAGTAAAAATTAAAAAGAGGTAGTGATGTTTTGAAGGAAATTTACGTGAATGAAGGAAGTGCTGCTTCTCAACATTCAACTTCCCCTTTCCCTCTTCGCCACGAAAAACAATTGCAAGAAAATTTACCGCAAAAAAGAAAAATTAATGAAATAATACATAAAATCGTTTTAGGACCTGTCGCAATAAAGAGCTTTTCTGCGCCCCTGATCAACTGTGGTATCCTTCGATTTAAACAAAGTTCTCGTTTTCGAATCAAGTTTGCTCTTTTCATAGAAATTCGTTATGCTAAGTTATGAGGAGGAGTATGATGTGTGTATCCTTCCCCCTCCCTCCCTCCCTCCCTCCCTTCCCTACCCCTTACCCCATATCTCCCATACCACTCCCTCTTTACTCTTATTAAAGAGTGAAAAACTTGTGTAATGTTATTTTACTGTCTTATTGTTCCTTATCCGTCTGAGGTCTGGGTTCTAGTCTACACAGCTGAAGATTCCTGCCCAATCAGAGTCTTTCCCGTTTTTCAGGCCTAGCCAAGACATATTATCATTATTTGTTTCCTACACGTGGCAAAATGAAGATTTTACTTATTGCCCCCTAGAGTGGCCTATTTGCGAACTATCCACATCTTGATTTTCAGTTTATTAATTCTTACATTCAGTAGATTTTTTCATTCCACTTTTCCTGATGGGATCCCAGTCCTTGTTCGTCAACTCGACTCTCAACATGATAGAGTGAGTTTTTATATCAACAGTGATTTTTGCAAATATCATACAGCGTAAGATGTTCTTTATTTTGCTTTGCTAATCTTTAAGTGCTGCAAAACCTGTTCTTGAAATATTCTCCTTAGGCGAGAGAATTTCTCTTACTTTGGGTCATCAGCTGATTCTATGGCATAGGGAAACTTGACTTACCTTTGACTAAGGAGCCAGTGACGTATCCTCTGAAAGAGGATACGAGACATAAACAGACAAATAAGGGCAGAGAAATCATAATTTTTCCTTTTGATCTGGCTGCAATAACAGACCTGTTGACCAACAACGTCAGCTTTTTAACTCTTTAGGGTGGCCAATTTACAATTTCAACTTAGTTGATATACCAAATTACCTAGTTAGCCCCACCGACGCAGCACCACAGTTTCCTTAGAAATTTACCCCTCTTTCTAGATTTGAGATTGATCGAGATATGTAACATGTTACACTTATCAACTTGAAAACAGACACTGAACGGATGCCTAAATATTAGAATTATAAACTTAATCTTTGCGCAAAATGCCGTGAAAAACCAGAGGACTAAGATAGACATAGGTAGAGTAAATCACGTGGTTGGCAAAATTATTCAAGAGAGTGCATTTTGAGATCATTTTATGGCGAGCCTCACAGCTTTTAATGCTGGGTGAGAGAAGAAAAATATGGCCCTCCCAAAAAGGCAGTGTGGCCGATTTTCGACGATAACTACTGCGAGTTTCTACCCAATGAAACATCTTTCAAAGGGAAATTATTGTACCCATACATTTAAACTCCTACCGAAAGTTGAGAGGTTAACCCTAAGAGGGCGTGTAATCGTCTCCCTAAACACTTATTTTTCTCTATTTTTCTGTTTGGACTTTTCTTTACATATAACTGATGTCTTAGCCTCCAAAACATTTCATCTTTCTTTAACGGTATGCATTACGAAAACGTGATGGAGTTCAATGACCATTTTGATTGAAATTCTTAAAAACGTTTTCACTCGAGCGGCGAGGACTTTAGAATATCACAAGAACTATGATCGTTAGAAATATCTGTGCAATCATGATAAAAAGATCCCTTTGTTTTTATCTATTATCGTCATTTAAAATTGCGCGACGCCACTTTAAATAATTACCTCTCCTTTTTATTATTAATTGCATACAGTCTGTGCTCACCTGAGAGTAAGGCCAAGATATAAACGAGTAATGAAAGCACTTTATTTTGTCAGTCTAACTAAGAGAGTTCTTACAAGAGACTCAACGTAGGTCAGGGAAGACCCTCACAGTCATATCAAACTAATAAATTCATTATTAGTCAAACAAGAAAATTCAGAACGGCCAACGTGTTGATAATGACTTGTTTCATGACATCGGGATCTTCCGCGGTTTCGTTATTCATCCGCACATGAATTATTCTAGTTGATTTAGAGTTTAGAGTGCTCTTTTAACCTTTTTAAAATGCTTGCGACTTAAAAGAGACCGTAAGGTTGGAATGTCTTTGGTCGTGAAAGACTTGATGTAGCTTAACACAGTTAATTTCTACGATTGACTCATTTAGCCCTAGGGGATGCTCATTTAGACTATTGACAAAGTGATGTCTACAATATACAAAACAAAACAAAAGGAGTAGTTCAGCATGCAAATTTGAGTTTGTAAGCTACTCAAAGAATGTATTTGAAATCTATTGCATTTATTGATCACGTCTCTTAGTCTAGCGCAAGCAAGTTGTTGAAGGTTGTATCATTTTCAGAATATTTTGGTTTTATCAACTGAGTTGGTAAACGTATATGTGCACGATCCTTCGCAGTAAAGCACTATTTAAGCAATAGTGAAAATCAGACCTGAAAAAACTTCAGGCCTGTACGGGATTCGAACCACTGACCTCTGCGATACTAGTGCAGCGCTCTACCAATTGAGCTAACAAGCCAACTGGGAG